CCCCCTCGTGGGGGGGAGGGGTGCAAGAGGGGGGGAGAGGGGTAGGGTTTAGGGTTTAGGGTTTAGGGTTTAGGGTTTAGGGTTTAGGGTTTGGGGTTACCGCGAGCCGTCCGCGTGGTGGTAGACGCCGTGGCCGTGGGCCCGGTCTTCCACCCAGTCCCCAAAGTAAACGTCCCCGTCAACTGCAGCAAACCGCAGGGTTTAGGGTTTAGGGTTTAGGGTTTAGGGTTTAGGGTTTAGGGTTTAGGGTTTGGGGGCTGGGTGAAGCGAAGGGCAGAGAATGCAGCAGCAGCCGGCAGAAAGATAAAAAGAGCAAAATGAAATGAAATTGAAGCTAAAGGGAAATACAAATAAATAAAAATAAATAAAAAGAACTAAAAAGAAATTAAAATGAAATAAAATAAATTAAAATAAATTAAAACAAAATAAATTAAAATAAAATAAATTAAAATAAAATAAAATAAATTAAAAGACAAAAGACTCACCATGGACGAATTTCCCCTTTCCCTGGGCCTTGTCGTTTACCCACTGGCCTTCGTACCTGAGCAGCCGCACCCCCAAACCCTAAACCCTAAACCCTAAACCCTAAACCCTAAACCCTAAACCCTAAACCCTCGCAAGCCTCTCCCGTTGCGCCGAAGTCCGCGGCGCCTGCAGCCCGCGTCCCCGGCTCGGCCGCGGCTGCGGCCGAGCCTCGAGCCCAGGGCCCTGGCCCCGGGCCCAGGGCCTAGGGTTTAGGGTTTAGGGTTTAGGGTTTAGGGTTTAGGGTTTAGGGTTTAGGGTTTACCGCGCGCCGTCGTCCCAAACCTGCACGCCGTAGCCGTCGCGCGCGTCGCCCAGCCACTCGCCTGTATAGACAGCGCCGTTGTCGAAGGCCACTTGTTTGCGGACTCTGCCGCCTCCGAGGAACTGGGCCTCGGGGGTTTTGGAGTCTTCGTTCTGCGCAAACCCTAAACCCTAAACCCTAAACCCTAAACCCTAACCCTAAACCCCAGGCCCTGGGGCGGCCCTGGGCGCCGCAAGGGCCCGCGCGCGGCTCCGCGAGGCGAAGCGGCGAAGCGGGAGGCCGAAGGAGGCTCGGGACGAGGGTTTAGGGTTTGCCGCTAGGGTTTAGGGTTTAGGGTTTAGGGTTTAGGGTTTGGAACCCCCGAGAGGGGCTGCGTCGGCGTACCCCGAATATCGCCTCTTCTACCTCGCCCCAGAAACCCCTGGAGCAGCTGCACGCGATGTTTCCCATCTTGAGGCTGCGGGGTTTAGGGTTTAGGGTTTAGGGTTTAGGGTTTAGGGTTTAGGGCCGACGACTGGAGCGGCCCCGAGACCACGGAGTGCTTCTTGGGTGCGACGGCGCGAATAGGCAGCTGCTGGAGTTGGCTGGCGAGGGTTTAGGGTTTAGGGTTTGGGGTTTAGGGTTTGGGGTTTGGGGTTTGGGATTTAGGGTTTAGGGTTTGCGGCTGGCGAGTGTCGCGGGCGCTGCAGACAACAGAGCTGCTGGGGTGTATGGACAGCAAAGCGGAAGAAAAGGGTTTAGGGTTTGTCTATACACTCATTGTTGCAATTCAAATAAAAGAGCAACCAAACAGGCTTCTAAAAACCTCTTTAGCCCTCACCACCCTAAACCCTAAACCCTAAACCCTAAACCCTAAACCCTAGCAGGCAAGAGATAGACGCCGGAACCGCGCGGGGGGCCCCCTGGCTGTCTGTACACCGCAGTCCAGCTAAATGAAACCCTCCAAACCCTTTTTTTTGCATTTATTTATTTTTTTAATTTTTAATTAATCAAAGAAACAAGAAAGAAGAGCCAAAGGTGCACTTGCGGCGGCTCTCGCCGTCCCCACGCGCTTCAGCGTCAAGGGTTTAGGGTTTAGGGTTTAGCGTTAAGGGTTTAGGGTTTAGGGTTTAGCGTCCCGCGCGGATTTTCAATCCGCAGTCCCCCTTTTAGGGTTTAGGGTTTGCTTTTTAGCCCTCGTTCCCGCCCCACTGACACCCCCTTCACCAGGTGTACGTACACCCCAACGCCCAAGCCCCGAGACACTTTTCTTTTTTTTTCACTTTTCCACTTTTCCAAAAAAAGTCCATTTGGGGCCCCCGGGGGCCCCCCTGTCCTGAAGCGCGGCCTGGCCGCGCAAGAAGTCCTTTAAATGCAATTTAATTCCAAACACTTTTTAAACTTTTCTTCTAACCCGGGGGCCCCCAGCCCTTTGGGGCCCTTCGGGGGGCCCCCCGGTTTCCTCCAAAGGCCCTTGGGGACTCTGGGGGGCCCCCGAGGGTCTTCTGGGGGCCCCAAGGGCCTTTTGGGGGCCCCAAAAACCCTTCAGGGGCCCCAGGGTACTTTAGAAGCCCCCGGGGGGCCCTCGGGGGGCCCCAACGGCTCTCTGGGGGCCCCTGGAGACCCCGCAGGGGCCCCCAGGGTCTATTGTGGACCCTCAGGGGCCCCCCGGGGGGCCCCCAGGAGCTCTTTTTAGGGTTTAGGGTTTAGGGGCCCCACGAGGGACTCCTGGGGGCCCCTGTATGGCCCCAAAGGCACTATAAAGGGCCCCAAATAATAGATTTGCCTTGAACAGAACCTCAGAGGAACCCTCGGGGGGGCCCCCGGGAGGCCCTAAAGGGGCCTCAGGGAGGCCCCAAAGGGGCCCCAAGGGGTCCCTCGAAGTTTTGGGGGCCCCTTGGGTGTTTTTTAAGCTCTTCTTTTGTCTCTTTGTCTTATTTGAGGCAGGAGAAAGATTTAAAAAGTAAAAAGTAATTAAAAGTGTTTAAGAAAATGCAAAAAGGACTTTAGCGAGCATCTTGAGGGCTTCTCCAGGTGTCTGTACAGCTCAGGAGCATGATTCAAGTGTCTTTTTTTGTTTTCTTTTGCTCATTTTAATTGCGTTTTTGTCTTTTTTGTCTGTTTTTGTCTTTTAAATCTATTTTATCTCTTTTTGTTTCCTTTTTGTCTCTTTTTTGTCTTTTTTTGTTTTCTTTTTCCCTTTTTTGTCTTTTTGCCATTTTTTGTCTTTTTTTGACTCATTTTTGTTTCTCTGGTGTTCATGAAGGCAACCCCTAAACAGAGTTTTTTTTTCTTTCATATATTTGAACTAATTTAAAAGCTAAATAAATAAATTTAAATAAATTTAAACAAATAAATAAATAAATAAATAAATAAATGTGTTAATTAAGTGCTTAATTAATTAATTGATAGTAAATAAATAAATAAACAAAAAAAGAAAAAGTGGTAAAGAATGAATTGGCAAAGAAGACAGTAAAAGGCACAGAGGGCAAATAGACAAATGGAGAAAAAATTAAAAATATAAATTAGCAACTTTTGATTCTTTGATCATTTAAATTTAATTAAAATTTAAATTAAGAAATAAATAAAGAACCAAAGACAGAAACAAATATACAAAAGTCAAACAAAAGCAAATAATGGAAAGTAACAAAAAAGGGAAAATCCCAAAAAGTGAAAACTTCAAATTTGTTTTCGTTGGCAGCTTTTTTATTTGTAAAAAACAAGAAAAGGATTTAAATGAAACTAATCTCAATTTCTAATTTATAACTTCCAAATCACAACTCAGAATTCAGAATTTATAATTTATAATTTACAATTTGTAATTTGTAAATATTTGTTTCCCACAAGTCCCGCCGCGCAGGTGTACAGACACCCGGGGCCCCACACGGCTTTTCGGAAAGTGACCCGGGGGTGAAATTGAAAAGTTAAAAAAGTTTTTTTTGCAGAAAATGAAAAGAGACAATTGGGGAGAAGAGACAATGAATTGGAAGATTAAATTTGCGGAAAAGAGGGGCTTTTTTGGTGTTTTTGGGCGTTTGTGGGGCCTAGGGTTTAGGGTTTAGGGTTTAGGGTTTAGGGTGTGCGGGCCCCGGAGTGTACATACACTCAAGAGAGACTGCGGGGGAGCCACGCTGCGCCCCACTTCGAGAGTTGCATTTTCTTTAATTGTTTTAATTTCGAGTTTTTGTTTTTTGTTCTTCAAAGACAAAAGAGACAAAGAACGCTCCAGACAGGCCCTGCAGTCAGAAGAACTTAAACTCTAATCCATTAATTCCGAAAAAGAAAAAGAAAAATAAATAAAAGAAAAAAGAAGATAAAAGGAAACAAAGGGAGATGAAAGGGATAAAAAGAAATAAAAGAATAAACAGGAAGGTAAGGGGACAAAAAGAAACGAAGAAAAAGATAAAAGGGGAAACAAAAATAAAAAACAAAAAAGAAGATAAAAGAGGGAGAGAAGAAACAAAGAGAGACAAAAAGGAGAAAAGGAAATTAAAAGAAATAAAAGAAACAAAAAGACAAAAAGAAACAAAGAAAGAAAAAATAAAAAGGAGATAAAAGATAAGAAGCGATCAAGAAACAAAATTAGAAAATAAAAAACAAAGTAAATAGAAGGAAAAAGATAAAAGAAAAAATGAAAAGAAAAAAGAAAGAGAACATAAATGAAAGAAATAAAAGGAAACAAACAGAAATTAAATTTAAAAGAAATAAAATTAATCAAAAAGAAATTAAATGAACTTTTTATTTTTTTCGATTAAAGAAAAGAAAAGAAAAGAAAAACTCCCGCTTTATTTACCATTATTTATTTTTATTACTAAACAAACTAATCAATTAATCTGTCAATTTAATTAATTAATCTATTTATTTATATATTTATTTATTTATTTATTTATTTGTTAGTTTATTTATTTATTTATTTATTTATTTATTTTTAAATAAAATAAAATTAATTTTTTATTTTACGCCTCTAAAGTGACTTTGCTGATTTTCTTCATAAAGTTCTGCAAAGCGGCGCTTTCTTCTCCCGCTGTTTCCATGGCCTCCTAAATAAATAAAATAAATAAATAAATAAATAAATAAATAAATAAATAAATAAATAAATAGATGAAAACAAATAAATAAATAAACAAATAATAATGAATGGAAATAATGAAAAAAGAATGAAAGAAAAGCGTTAAGTGGATGTGCGTATGTGTCTGTAGACGCAGATGCAGTAAGTGTGGGGGCAATTCTAGGGTTTAGGGTTTAGGGTTTAGGGTTTAGGGTTTAGGGTTTAGGGTTTACTTTGAGGCTTGCGTGCAGCTTTTGACTTTCTTTGCTCCAAGTTTTTAATTCTTCTTCCGACACAGTGCAGACACTCGGCAGCTCGACTTCGGGTCTTTCGTACTTCCTGCACAAACCCTAAACCCTAAACCCTAAACCCTAAACCCTAAACCCTAGCTTTGATCCTTAGATCTCATAGTGTGGTTCCCTTTAAAGCAGCAAAGGAGGCAGTGTTTAGGGCTACGGCTTTAACTGCTCAAAATCAGTCAAACCGGGCACTCAAACCCTAAACCCCAAACCCTAAACCCTAAACCTAAAACCCTAAACCCTAAACCCTAAACCCTAAACCCTAAACCCTAAACCCTACCTGCAGAGAGCGGCCATTCTGTGAATCTTGTCTGCAAGCTGGAGCTGTTCTAAAAGAGCTTTCTTTTTTTCTTTGGCGCAGAGAGACACTTCAATGAGTCGCTGCTTTTCCAGGGCCCTAAACAGTCGCCACAAACCCTAGGGTTTAGGGTTTAGGGTTTAGGGTTTAGGGTTTAGGGTTTGGCGGTTGGCTGCTCCCCGTAGGCCCTCAAGGGTGAAGTTACTTGAAAGCGGCCCCAGCAGATGCCTCGGCTCGCTCTGCCAAACGCAGCCCTAAACCCTAAACCCTAAACCCTAAACCCTAAACCCTAAACCCTAAACCCTATTCCCGAGTCCCTTAACCTGGCTGCTTCTATTTCGTTTCTAAGTTCTTTGCAATGCTTCCGAAGCTGCTCTGCCTCCGCTTTTATCCTCGAGTTCCTTTCCTCAAAGTCCTGCGGCGCGAACCACTGAACTGGGGTTTAGGGTTTAGGGTTTAGGGTTTAGGGTTTAGGGTTTACAGACTGCGCCTTAGGCCTGAATGCTCAGAGCTGTCACCACCTTCAGCCGCCGCTGCAGCCTAAACCCTAGACCCTAACCCCCAAGCCCTAAACCCTGGGGCCTGGCCAGGAAACCCTAAACCCTAATTCCCTGTTTCAGGGTTTAGCGTTTAGCGCTAAGCCACCTCTCTTTTCTCGCATTTGAGGCAACGTGGACGCACCCACTTTATTCGTGCCTGGAGTTTTAGGGTCTAGGGTTTAGGGTTTAGCGTTTAGGGTTTAGGGTTTAGGGTTTGGACCTGTTTGTGCTGCCTGGCCTTTTCTTTCCAGCGCCTAATGGCGAGTTGGAGGCGCTCTGTTTGTTGGTGTTTAGGGTCCAGGCTCTGGGCCCAGAACCTAGGGTTTAGGGTTTAGGGTTTAGGGTTTAGGGTTTAGGGTTTAGGGTTTAGGGTTTAGG